TCACCAGAGCCAGAGCAGGGAGCAGAACAGGCAGAGTGACGAAACACACTGCTGAGGGGTGCAACAGGCGCAGCAGGAGAGGTCTGTCACGCCATGTGGCACCCTCACTGGCGGCCGGGGATGGAACTGGCGCTGCAGAGGCTGCAGGCAGCCTCGCAGCCCAGCACTCCACCGCTGCACCACCAGGGGAGGCCCTATATATATATATATATATATATAAAAGATTTATTTATACAAGCCTGGGTACAGTCAAAAGCGTGGGAGGGTGAGAGAATTCACCAGAGCCAGAGCTGCGAACATAACAGGCAGACTGATGAAATACACTGCTGAGGGGAGAAGTGGGTCCAGCAGGAGAAGTCTGCCTGCCATGTGGGACCCTCGCCGGCGACCCAGGATCAAACCGGCGCTGCAGAGGCTGCGGGCAGCCTCGCAGCCCAGCGCACAACCACTGCGCCACCGGGGAGGCCCTATTTTTAAATATTTTTACATCATTTTTCATTTTTGCACAATGTATGCATTTTCATCTTGGTTATAGTCCTCATACAATTCCCACCCCCCTTGTTTTGATCATACTCCCTTCTCCCTCCACAGTGTATCTCTACTTTATAGTTGCTTGTTGATTTTGAATTTTTACTTTATTATAATTAGTATAACGTACTCTTAATCATAGTATTTGTGAAGTCGCTTTTGCTTTTACATAAATAGAGTAGATTTTCGATAAGTGTTTGGGTGGGAAGATGGATGGTTGGATGCATGAGAGAGAGAACAACTAAAGGTGAAAAAAAGAGCTGTTCATAATGTTTCAATTTTTCTTTTTGTTTTGATAGTGATCCCTTGATAGGATCTATGTTCTTGTGAATGTTAAGGGGTAAGAATCATTAAATAGAAGGCCCTGCATTGATTCATTGCCTCAGTAAACTTGTTTTTCATGCTCTTTATTTTTTCCTTTCAATAAAATTATTGAGCAACTACCATCAGCTGAGCATTGCTCAAGGTTTAGGAAAAGCACAGATGAGTATCTCACAATGTTTTAATTTTTGGTGCCTGTTTCTTCCACTGCTAACTTTGTCCTTTATAAACCTCCTGCGGAATGCTGAATAGACTGGTGCTCATGCAGTCGTGTGGAAGCCCCAGCAGTGCTGAGAGCGGCACTTGTCGAAACCTCGCCATGTGAATTGTGTCCTGATGTACACATGCAGCCGTGGCTCCTCTGTGGGTTGTGAAATATGTTTATGCAGACTTGAGAAAGCTCCTAATGCCTTTTGTTGCTCTCCCTGCTCTGCGCCTCTTGTCTCAGGGACGGCCCCTCTGAGCTAGAGATTTTCTCTGCCTTCATGCTTCCAAACAAGGAGACATTTTACCTTGTATCTTAGAAGATGCAATGCTTATATTTGTGGCGAATGGATGAAAAAGGACTCTTTCCATCTGTTTCTCTCATTGTGAATATGAAAGAATAGTTCAAACTTTCAGGTAGTTTCCGAGAGAATTGGGACCGAAACTTAGATTTTCTAACTCTGACACCTTGGCTCTTAGTAATATCACAAGGTGAGCTACTCAAAAAATTGTATTTCCTTTGTGTAAGAGAATGATAATGTCATCAAGTGAGAGTGTATAGAAAGGAACATGGGCTTTGGAATCAGATAGGACGAGGTCAAGTCCTGGCATGCTTTTTATTTCTAGGTGTCCTTGAGCATGTTACTTAAACACTCTGATCCTTTGCTTCTGCATTTGTTGAAGGAAAGAAGCAAAGTAATATTTAGGTTATAGGGATGTTATAAAGATTAAATGTGATAAAATTTAAAAATGTAGCCAGGGCCTCCCTGGTGGCGCAGCGGTTGAGCGCCGGGTTGCGAAGCTGCCCGCAGCCTCTGCTGTGCCGGTTCTATCCCCGGCTGCTCCCCGGCCACCAGAGGAGGGTCCCACATGGCACGCAGACCTCTCATGTCCCCCGCTGCTCCCCGCAGCAGTGTACTTTGGTCCTCTGCCTGTTCTGCTCCCTGCTCTGGCTCTGGTGAATTCTCTCACCCTCCCGCGCTTCTGACTGTACCCAGTGCTTGTATAAATAAATAAATAAATCTTTAAAAAAAAATGTAGCCAACTACGCAGCCTGTCTTAAATGTCTGATATGTTTGCTAGAAAGGAAGACAGACTCTATCTTTCCCTTGAGAAAGAGTTCAGATGATGATGCGACGATGATGATGATGGTGGTGATTACTGTGGTAGTCTCGGTGATAATGTATCTACTATCAAACAGACTTTCATTTTTAAACATTTCCTCAGTATCAGCACAACTATATTGTTACTTTATGACAAATCTTTTCTGTCTACAGATTCCATTATATTCTCAGTCTAACACCCTCATTCTCAGATTATGAGCATAGATATATGACAATAAAACTGCTAACTGGAGAAGAAACAAGCAAACATCACTCATACATTTCTTCTTCAAAGGTCTCAGAATCCGCATCTTTAAGACACCAGGATTTTCAGATTGACAGAATAAGTAAGCACTGACCACCTGCTCTTGGGCTTTTATCTTGGTTTCTAAGAACTAGCAGCTTGGCGTCACACTGCCTGGGCATGAATCCAGCCTTGTTCCTTGTGAGTGCTGTGACCTTGGTTAAGTTCTCATTTCTGAGTTTTGGTTTCCTCATCTACGAGGATAATAACAGTATTAATCACATTTGGTTGTTGTAATAATAAATGAGGCAAGTTCAGAGAACAAGCAAAAAGAGCTCAGTTAAAGTGTGCCCCTCTCTAGGGTTTCTTCCTGTCCAGAAGCTTCTGTGTCCTCAATGGGGAGCTGTGTCACTTAGGGTTAGCAAGAAAATTGTAAATCTCTCTAGTATGTAAAAAAGGGGATTTAAAACTCAAAAGTGGTGACCCAGATAGTGGAGTAAGGGCTATTCCCTGTGAAGTAAGCCAGAGACCAGCAAAAGTAGAAGCTGCCACTACGCTTAGGCTGGAGGGGCAGAGGAAGGAGGTGCAATTCCCAGAGTTCAAGGGCAGGGAACACAAGCACATGTTGCAGCATTGGTGGCCTTGTCAGCAGAGCTGAAGTCATGAAGGAGAAGCAGTCACCTGACATGGGAAGAGGACACGTTCTCTGGCTTCCGCTCCTTCAGCCCTCAGCATCCAGAAGGGCTGACCTTGGCAGACTGTGAGGCTGGGCACTGCCATCCAGAGGCAGCCCCTCCATGTTGAGCAGAACAGAGGGCTTGAGAGCATAAAAGCCCAGAGCTCCCACAGGCTCAGTTGCACATCTCAGTCTCCTGGTTATTGGGACTGCCTTAATGTGATAGCCAGCCCAGAATGTTCCAGAGCCTGAATCCTCCTGCTGCTGGCCCTCAGACCAGTCACAGGGGTTCATAAGTTGCTGTGCTTAGGAAGGCAGAATTTGGAAAAAGCACTGGGGAAAAAAACAAGAAAATTGTGGAAATATAAGAAGCCAGTCACTGACTTTTTCTGGTCCCTCTTTCTGGAAAGGTCTGCTTGTGGAGCAGCCAGTACCTTCAATATCTGGGGTTCTCTGGCTGGAGGACACACCCTCATCCCCCTTTTACCTGAGTCATGCTGAGTAGCATAGACACACTTCCTTGCACCCCTACAGGTATATTCAGCTTCCCCTGTGGTCCTTTCAGTCCTGTGGTGATCTGCCTGCAGTGAAGTGCTCCATTTGATGCTCTTCTCCTCCCCCAGACTGTGAGAACCCCAAGAGCAGGAACTTGTCTATCCTTACATTCCCAAGCCTTTTGCTGTCACTGCTCTGTCCTAGCAATCGTGGTAGAGGCTGAAATGCTAAGCACCTGGATGAGGCAGCACCAGCTTTGTGCAACTTTTATTCAAAGGGATAGGCATGATCTTTGAAAATTGCTAGTGTCTTGTGTACTGGGGGAGTCCAGGGGTGCAGGAGACACTATCTTTTCTGGAGGATCAGGAAAACAGTCTGTGCAAGTAGCATTTGAGTTAGGAATAAACTGGGATAGAGGCCGGAGAATGGCATTTCAAACAGAGGGAAGAGCAAATGCAAGGGTCTTGAAGTGGGCAAGGACATTGAGCATTGTAGATCGAGAGCAAAAGTAGCATTGTGTGGTGCTGAGGAGGCCAACAGGAACAGTCCTCTCCTGCATCTCCATCTCTTTACCCTGCCCTGGGTGCTTCTCACCTCCTGCCCGTGTTGTAGTCAGGAATGATCACATGTCTTGGCTACCACATAATGCCTACTGGTTTTGTGTATAGGAGGGGCTTGTTGGATATTTGAATAAATAAGGGACAAATCTAGGCTTAACCACTCTTTCTGGCATCACATTTGAACTGCACTTACCCAGCAGGTGTCTAAGAATACAATCTATGGGAAGAAGACTGAGTCAATACCATGATGGGAAACGCTCAGTTATTTGGCATTCTTTTAACAGGAACTCATTGTCAGTCATCCTGTCCTTTACATCAAGAGCTCTGCAAAAGTGGTAGTAAGAATGGTGACCTAACGATGTCAGAAAGATGATCATCCAACTATTCTGCTGCCTACTTTGAGGCTGGAATGTGATGTACTCAATCAGACCCCATTCAGCTCTGCTCCTTATTAAGTGTGGCCCTGAAAAAGTCCCTCAACCTCTGTCTAGTTTAATTTCTCTGCAGATATGTGTGGCATGAGTAACGGGGACTTGACAGGGCTCATGTAAAATGGGACTGTGTATGTGAACATTCAGCCAGGGCCTCGTGTTTCCTGAGCCCCAAGTCACTGATTGCTGCTGCTTTGATTATTTTAATTATGGTTATTTAGTATTTCAGTGTCAGACACTGACCAGAATAAAGTCAGAGCAGAGCAGGTTTCCTCGTGGCAGGCGAGTATGCTCTTTTGCTTCTCTTTGAGCTGGGCTTACACAGGGAGTGCTTTCTCGATGTGGTTTGGCTGTTAAGTAAAAAGGAATGATTTATACTTCTTTTTAGCTTTCTTTTCCATTTTTCATAAAGAGGGTTTTGTTTTTGCTTTCTCATAGGAGTGATTGGAGCAGATGTGAGGGGGCACGGCCTTGCCTGTGAGGGACAGCCAGTGACGTCACGGCTGGCTGTCATCTGTGGAACATCTTCTTGTCATATGGCGGTGAGTCTGCCAGGCTGAAGGCGGGGCCACCACACTCGGGAGAGGGGAGCCAGGAGGAGATCTGTGGGGCCTGTTCTTTGGCCCTCTCAGCTTATCCCCTTTCTGCCTCCTGCTCTGTCTAGCCGGAAGCCCAGCCCTCCCTCCTACAGCCTTACTCAGATCATCTTTTTCCAGGGGCCAAGTCTTTGAAAAATGTGGAGAGGCTTGAATCTGCCTTTGACATCACCCTGGCCAGAGAGCCCAGGAGGGAGGTATGAAATCAGATCCAAGGTGGCAGCGCCTTGCTCACAGAGGGATTTGTCCCTAATGGGAAACCGAGGCTTCTCTGCACAAGGGTGTCTGTTTTCCTTGGCCACTGAGCTCTCTCAATCAATATAAATCCATCTCCCTGGGAGTAGCCTGATGATCTATAGAATTAGGCTGCGTATCATGACTTCAAAAGAACACTGATAAGCAATTTTCACTTTGTTAATTTTTCTCCATGAATTAGTGGAAAGGCTTTCTCCAAGATTGCAGTTAAAATTTAGTGCCTGCCCTAAAATTTATATCTTCTTTAAATGCATGAGTCTGAAAGCATTCCATTTCGATAAGTACCCATTTCTACCATATTTTTATTTAAAAGTCATTACTCTGTTAAACTGAGATGGACGACTCCTTGGATCTTTCCCAGATGAGTGAAATAGTTGGGGGGCGGGTGGAATGAATGTAAATGGGGGAGGAGCAGGGAGATGAGTGAGGGTCAGAGTGGAATTCATTTCAGGCCCAAATCTGCAATTGTGGATGGATTCGTGTGCCACGAGAATCTCTGTTTAGTTGCTGTAGGTACTAGTGAGCCTTTTTTTACTCTTCAGTAATTTGGTCGAGTAAATAGTGATACTTTAATTTATTTACTGATCCCTGCCCTTGTATCTGGAGCTGTTCTAAACCTTGGAGACATCAGGAAGATGCGGGACTTCCCATGGTAAGAGAATTGTAACAATTGTTATAAGACAATATGAGGCCCCCAAATATATGTATTCAGATTGAACTTGTGATTTGGAGCGCCTGTTGTGTGCCAGCCATTGTGCACAGTGTTTGCACACAACTTCCCATTTCACTGATTGATGGTGGAACCAGCTTGTTGGTGCCCAATCTCAGCTCCTCAGCTTACTAAGTGGGGGTGCAGTGACAAGGCACTCAACTGTTCTGAGCGTCAGATACCCTGTCTACAATATGTCAAGCTTTGCGGTAACCTCTCTTGTAGTCTTGTGATGATGGGATGAAGTTGTGTGATATGTTCTACCTAGACTGAGCCCTAGAAGGATCAATGGTGATTACTAACAGGTACTAAGTTTGACCGAAGGGATTCAGTGACAGGGTCCAGGCTGAAGGGACATCTGTGCAGGACTTTAAAGACATAGACTGCCTTGGGCACCTCTCCCCACCAATAAGTTCCTTTTGTTTGTTTCTCTGCACAAAGCTTCCATGGCCTTTCTTTTCCCTGTTGGCCTATTCTAAGGCTTAGGTGTCCCTAAAGGGAAGATCTGCAGAGGGGCAAGGCTCTTCTTGCAGGAGTTGTACCCCAGGACAGCCAACCCTGTTTCCTTGGACATGGATCTAACCCAGTCAGCTTGTCTTTATCGATTGAACCTATTGAAATACCTCCTATTTTCATAGGGACATATAAAATCCAGTTTCTCCTGCGAAGTCTGAATTCAGGCACGTATACCCCACTCAGTTCACGTTTCTGAGCAGAAGCAAATCTAAATGAGTGTGAATGACTCAGTGAAGTCTGCTTCGTAGTCTCCTTCAATTTTAAGGGGGATGATACTGCCATTGTCCCCCTGTATCCATTTTATAAATGAAGCAACAAGAGATTTAAAAAAAAAACTCCAGTGTTTTCCTATGTTCACAAAAGTAGTGCGCTAGAGCTGAGCATTCCCCTCTAGCTCCATGGGATTCCCAAGCACATCCTCCTGATGCCACTGTGTTTTGTCCCCATAGAAGAATGGAGAGCATGTGCTTCGGTATTCTCCAGGTGGGGATTTGAGTGACTGTTTATGCACCATTTGGCCTTGTGACCTGAGGCTAGCTATTAGCTTCTCTGAGCCTCAGATTCTGTGTCCATCACAGAGGGGGTGACAATGCCACTCTCAGAGGGCCCTGGATAACATGAACTGCATATATACATATCTAATCCATAGTGCGCACTCAGAAATGGGCATGATGCCCATTAAACTTTCCTTCCATGAAGCAACTGTTTGGGCTTTAATGAGTTTGATAGGCAGCTGCAGTTGGTTGCAATGAATGAGGGCCATAAAATGCCATTTTATTATGGTTGTGTTGTGCTGAAAGTCAAGTCCCCACCTCCACCCTGCTTTGTACTCAGGAGTGGGAAGGGACCTTCTGGGCCAAGGGGATTAATCATCAGCTTTAATGTTATGTGGTGAGGGCGAGACTGTGGTCATGCTGGCATCGGAGGGTGCCTTTGATCTTGCTCAGGTGCTGGGTGCCCAGCGAGCCAGCAACAATAACACCTTTGTGAGGTCGAGGAGGGGTGCAGGCCTGAGGAAACACTCCCAGGGAAACTCAAGGACCCCCTTTGTTGTGGTTCTGGCAAATAAAACCACCAACTGTCAAGAAAAATTCACCAAACAGAACACAGGGACCGAAGGGGACTCTGGGTTTTTCAAAAAGTTGTTTTCAACCTTGTTTGAAAGATTCTCTTTCTCCTGTCTGCTCAGTGTTGATGTTTCCAATTCAGTGGGGTGACTGAGACAAAACTCTCATGAACATTTTATGCTTGCCCCAGATTCCTAGATCACCCAGCATGAATGAATAAATGCATGAACAATTGAATGAATGAATGTCCATGTACGCAAGTATTGGCAAGTACTTAAAAACTCCCTTCATCCAAGTTCCTGCTACTTCCAGGAATCTGGAGAAAAAGCCTGAGGTTGAACATAAGACTTACTAATAAGGCCTTTGATATTTTAGAAGATGCAAGTGCAAGTGTGGGCTGCACATTTATCTTCGTTGTAGATGATTTAATTAACAGAAAAAAATACTGTACTTTTTTTTAACTCCATGAAAGCAAAGCTGCTGCCTCAGAGTTAATTACTACCAAGTCACCAAAACCCAAGATAATACACAGCAGGGGTTAGCCAGAGGTGGAAAAGTCACAGGGTCAGAGGCAGCTGATCCTCCCCATCATTCCAGCACCCCTTTTCTCGAGCTGTCAGATCAGCTTGTAACTTGGCAACTTGTCTTTCAGTTAACATGTCAGATGGGGAGGGACCCCCGGGAAGAGGGGAAGCATTGACAAAGTGAGGTTTGAACAGAACAATAGTTGGTGAGAGCTGAGAATTACACCTGCATCTTAAAATCACTCAGAACTGAAATATTTGCAAAGTCTTAAATGAATGTAGGATGGTGGTTCTCTGTCACTTAGCAGGCGTAGATTTTCACCAACATGGACTCACATGTTAGCTACGTGAGTCTAGGTAAGATGCTTCATCGTTTGATACGTCCATTTCTTTTTCTCAATTTGTATTTTTTAAAAGATTTATTTATTTTTGCATACAAGAACTGGAGTGCAGGCCAGGGGAGTGAGAGGTGAGAGGATTCACCAGACACAGAGTGGGGAACAGAATAGGTAGATTGACCGAAGTACACTGCTGAGAGGAGCAGCAGGTGAGACAGGAGAGGTCTGCTGCGCCATGTGGGTTGCTCCCTGACTGGGGATCAAACTCGTGCTGCAGTAGCTGCAGATAGCTATATAGTGCTGAGACTTTAACTCCTTTTGCCACCAGGGAGGCCCCAAGTTACCTCCCTTTCTTTATCTGTTCATGTGGGCAATAGTATTTACCATAAAGTTGTTTTGAGGCTTAAATGTAACCTTCGTAAACATATTGGCTTTGTACTTACCACAAAATGCCAAACAGGGTGTTAGTATTGAAAATGATTTGTGATGCCTAGAATGATCCAAGTGGTAATCAGGATGAACTCATGTTTAGCTTAACAAAGATACAAGAGGGTCTACATCGAGATATGTTGAGACATGTGCAGGTATACAAGTCAATAAACAGATGTCTCCTATCCTTGACAGCTGAGAGGCCTGTGATGAGGATGCCCAACAGCTTGTTTCTCCAAGCACACCTGTTGACCAGATCATGGTTTCCAATACTGTTCTGCAAGACAAAGAGCTGAGACTCCTTGGAGAAATAGTTAATGCTAGTGTTATAGGGCAGGGAGAGGGGCAGCCCAAACCCCGCAAACCTGCCTATTCTAAATGGGTTCTGCCATCCGCCGCATCAACACAAAACATATGAGACTTTAATGGGAAGGAACTTTAATAAAACTAGGAAACAATACAGGTAAGGCAAAGAGTCTAGTTTCTAAATGAAGCATCCAGAGTTACCCGTCCCCTCGTAGGTAAAAGTCCATCCATATGGGATTGGCCCAGAACAAGGCCCCAAAGCCTGCCACAAGTCTAAAGCATCTTCCAGTGGGGACCCACAGAAAAGGGTCAGAAACAACCAGACAAGCCCAGAAGGAAAAGAGCAAAATCAACATCAAGATAAAAGCTGCCATTGTCACCTCTTTACGGGTCTCACCCACATCTGTGTCACCCAGTCCACGACCAAAAGATAAGCGCAGTTTCTTCACGTGTCTCTAGGCTCCATGCGCCTCCTCCAGGTCTCCTTCTGGCTCCATCCTGCTTCCTTCCTTCCTCAGTGTCTTCTGCAGCTTCTCCTCTTCCTGCTCAGCTCCACCCTCCCTTGGGTGGGGCAGGGAACCTCCCCCTTTCCTGGGGACCACCCTGTTACACTAGGACCATGGTAGATGCTAGATGAAATGAGCGTGGAACATCGTATAGGACCAGAGTATAAGGAAATGCTAAAAATACATGAAATTTTTGTCAAAGTAACACTGAATATAGCTGATGGAGCTTCCAGTGGCAAAACTGAAACAATTTGAGCAGCAAAATTAAGTAGTATTAGATTATAATGCAAAGCATA